AGGGAAAGCATAAAAGGTCCATTTTAAATGTGAAATGGCTTCTTTTTATCTTAAAGTGCTCATGACCGAGACTTTAGATGGCCCGTATGAGCAGGGGGACTGATTTAATGTTTTTATTGGTACCTGAACATAATTTTAAGTACTGACTTGAAAAATGCTTGTGCTTTATTGATGCCATGAGCCCCAGTTAAAATAACAATAAGTACAATTTTCTCCTTTATAGCACATAATAGGTATTATCAACCCCATCGATCAATACCGGTGACGCAGTATGGCTGCGTCATTGCAGTAGCTGGCTGAAAATCCTCTTTCTTTTTGAACCAGTGCTAACCCAAATGGACATCTGGCATTTGCACCAGTGCACGATGATGCAGCTTCAAGTTGAAGGGCTAGATATGCTCACGATAATGCCAAAGGAGCAAATGACAAGTTAGCATTTAAGCGATCTACACTGTGATGTGCTAACTCTTTATTACATGTCTGTGATGTTAGCTCTCTTGTCATTATGGGCATTAAAGTAATTCAATGAAAAAGATTACCTGGAGGTACCTGTTGTGGTGCAGTAATGGCAGCTAAACCTGTACTCAAAATCTTTTGAAATATTGACAAAGCCGAGAATGCTTTCTAGTAAAAGTGCTGGTGTGTTAAGGTTTTAGTTATCCATCTCGCCTGTTTTATCTAGAGGGGTTGTCAGAGTGTTGTTAATCTTATTATTATATGAGAGCATGGATAGCAGCAGTGGTGTAATGTAACTTACATATTTTTCTCACAAGTATTTCTATACTCTGCTACTTTCTACTTCTACTCAACTATATTTTGGATGCAGTATTTGTACTTTTTACTCCAGACCAAGTATTTTTAAGGCTCCACTGCTTCTTATTTTGTAGATTTTTAATATAAGCCTACTCATATATAACTCATATATAATTCTGCATTGGTTATGCCCCAGTAATATGATTCTGCACAATGAGTACTTAGATTATGTTAGATTACATTAGGCACTTTATGTAAACACTCACTGGCCGCTTCAATAAATATTAAGTCTGTTTCCAGAAATCATCAGCTGTACATTTACTTTAGAAAATCCACCCATAACAAGTGGATGCGCTACTTGGGTAACAAAAAACTTAATGTGGGACAAACAGTAAGTGTACTGATCCTGAGAGGCATTCAGCATATGAAGGGCATGTCTTCTGAATGTGTGAAAAGGTGCTGAAATTTAGTCTATGTTTGTATTCTCCTTTATGCCTCAAATACCTTTAAAACTGTTGTTGCTGCTTTTTTGCCTAGAGTTGTTTGGGTTTCAGTGAGGATCCATCAGCTCCATGCTTCTGGAGATAAAAATAAGAAAAGGGTCTATGTTATGACCACTTTTCCTTTTATTTGTGATCATTTTCTACAAAAATCTGCATAGCTTTGTGTCTTTGTGATCACTGATCACTAGTGACAGAAGGCGATTTGTTAACCTGCGGAGATCAAACGTGACAGCCTTTCATTAAAAGCTTTTAATGAATGAGACTTTAAGAAGAGGGTCAGAACCAGAGCCAATCAAAATGTGGGACAGGGAGACAAGAGATAAAAATGCTGCCCACCTGGTCACCCCGTGTGACTACTGACAACGTGACAGAACATGAAACATTAATGGAGTTGCTCCTCGGCTGAGCTGTATTATCAGATAGCTGCACTCTTCTTTTGCTTGGCGGATGTAGACAGAAGAAAGAAAATAGTTCCTGCACAAAGCTGCTCTCAACAGTTTGTAGACTTTTATTTTTTATTTTTTGAGTAACCAGGTCATTATTTCTGGACAGAAACATAGCTGCTGAGTTATTAAAATGGATTTTTTTGGTACCATAATGTAACTTCTACCATTTATTACATTCAAGAGAAGGCAGATGTCTCCAAAACTTGGCAGTCAACGCCAGAACAATTTAGATGGATAAACAGCGCTGCAGGCCAAAGGAAGAATATGTAGCTGTCCCTTTAACACTCCAGGAAAATAGATCTGATAGCCTGCTGTCATACAAAGAGAAGACAGAGTGATGAGGAGTGGGTTGTAATGTCTTTTTATGTCAGTTTTTTCCCCCTTTTTTAAATAAACAGTATAAGCCCAAACCCGCTGCTTTAATCCCTCCCCTGGCAAGTCGACAGACATCCAGGCCTTTGTGCGCCCTGCTTTTCTAAATCCAGAATTTACTGTAAACAAACTGATGGAAACTTTTCCCACAGTGATGTGTCACTGCACAAAAAGGATCTTCCGCCAGCAGTCTGATGTAGGTGGGAGGACTGTGATAAATAAATTGTGATAGATAAATAAATAGGCTGTACCGTGTTTTCACCAATGTCTGTGTGTGTGGTTTGGTTTGTTAGGTGGTGGATGTGCGGCTGGTGTCGGTGTTTGATGCCAGGGAGCTGGAGCTAGTTATTGCAGGCACCGCAGAGATCGACCTGGCAGACTGGAGGAACAACACAGAGTACAGAGGAGGTATGGAAGGGGGGGTGGAGTTGGGTGCAAGGAGGTGGAGGAACGTACTGACAGCTTAGCCTAATGCATGCCCCGCCTCCGGTCCTGCAACATGTTCATTCACAAGTGTGCCACAGCCACTAAACCTCTGCTCTGAGAAGTATTTCCTTATTCATTCATCTCAACTGGTCCAGCGATTTTAACACTCGGGGAGATGCAAGGAAATAAGACTACACACTACTAATAAAAACCATAAAAAAAATCCATCTTCACCCCGAAGAAAGTTCAAATAGGTGCATCTGTTTAAATGTCTCTAGCCCCTAAAATGAAGGTGGTTGTAATTCAGTTTTTCTTTCTACTGTTTGAGGGACACAAGCAGACCTACCTATTTTGTTTCTGATACTGACACCTTGGCTTTGGGTGTCTACGGATATCAAATACTGATCCAAGACCAGCTGTATTCATGAGAATTATTCTTGTATGTGTATGTAGGCATCCGTGTCAGCTTAAAAACTGAAAAACATATATAAACATTTGCAAATGCATAGAAATTATATTTATTAGTGAAATTATGCTTGAAAATGGAATAAAATGAGTTAAGTGGCACAGACACATGACAGACCTTTATGTTATAGTGAGTGCACTGAAAAACTTTTGCAAACACATAAAGATAAGCTGGTGATCAACAAGTTTAGAATATCTCCAAACTGTTCATGCTTTGTTGCTAATTTAGCTCCGCTGTGAGCAACCAGTACACTGCTGCTCTCTTGTCGCCTTACAAATACAAGACAGCCACCTTAAAAGGGTTTTATGTTGAAAGGTAACAACCCTACAATATTAGAAAATATTAGAGAAAACCCGAACGATCAGACCCCAGTGACAGTAGGAAGGAAAACCTCAATTTTAATAGGAAGAAACCTCCAAAGAACCAGGCTCAGGGAGGGGTCGATAGCTGAAGCCTCTGACTGGCCTCAGCATCAACTGACTTTGAAGAGGAAGAAGTTTGTTTTGGTCTTTATATGACTGCACCAGTGCCCAACTTAAGATAAGGAAGGATTAATTTGAACAGAAAACCATACAAAGCTACCCTAGAATAAAATTTTGAAGTTTGAAATGAACTGAACAAAGCCCCTTTAATTAATCTGAAAAGACTGAAGCCTTACCTGAAATTAATTAAGTTGTTTTTCACAATATATAATAATTCTCCTGTGAACAAGTGATTAAATTTGCAGGGTAACAGCTGTACTGGACTTCACTTAATGTTACTCTGCAATAAGCTTCAAACCTTTGGAGTTATTACAGCGTATGCGGTGTACAGTCAGGCTGCAGGTGCCGGTGTCCAAAGCCATCACATTGAAAGGCTTTTTAGGGTTCTGGCCAGCAAAGTTGAAAAGCCGCCAGCAGCTGAGAGACAGAACAAAACTCGAGCTGACAATCGGCCATGACTCAGTGTCAGGGCGCTTTTAATGGACGAATCGACTGAGACGCACCAAACCGCTGTGTCCATCAAACATTAAGCAGCAGAGCCAGCTTACAAACCTCAGGAACAGGGGGACGGACACCCTTATTATTTGTTATTCGTCTGACTCATGCACCATCGCTGTCTTATCTCCCCACAGGTTACCATGACAACCACATAGTGATTCGCTGGTTCTGGGCGGCTGTGGAAAGATTCAACAACGAGCAGAGGCTGAGGCTGCTGCAGGTAGGGCACGAGGGGGAGCGCATGCACACAGGATGCCCCCGTGTGGACACCGCCTGCAATTACATTTTTTAATATGTTTCTAATTCTGCAGGAATGTCCCATTTATTTAAACAAGGTGTATTCAGTTTTCTGATTTATTTAACACTGAAACAAAGAACCTGAGAGTAAGTGAAATAACCCAAACTTTTTATGGCCTGAACACTGACTACATTTCATCCTTTTCTTGACTCTCTTCTCTCCTCAGTTTGTGACGGGCACCTCCAGCATTCCCTATGAGGGCTTTGCCTCACTACGAGGAAGTAACGGACCTCGCCGATTCTGCGTGGAGAAGTGGGGGAAAATCACCTCCTTACCCAGGTAACCTCACCTTTTAGGGACTATACAAAAATGAATAATAACAGAGACATTGTAGAATGAATCTTTTCAAAATAAAATGTCCATAAATATGAAAGCTGATCAAACAGGTATGAATAAGGGCTTTAACGGGCTGTTTAGGTTGTTAAGGCTTCATATACGTCACCTCTGTTACTTTTTTTGTAAAATATGATGGGAGAGATACGACACAATTTTAGGGCGTAAACACACTTAAGAATTTTAGTGGATTTATTTATGTGTTTCCCTATAGGGGGCCAAAACCGACAATTTCAAACAAATATCTAGTAAACAAATAACTCAAAAGAAAACTTAATTTAAACTTAACTTAAAAGAAAATTTAACTGCCATTAAATCACTGAAAATACATAAAATAATGACATAAAATTTGAGACAAATTTATATTTCTGTATTCATTTGCATCTTTCTTAATTTGATATAATAGGATATCAAATTAATTATCATACAAATTTGATATAATACGTATGACATTTATCTACCTTTTTAATGCCTTTTTATTTATTTTATTTTATTTTTATCACATTAATTAATTAATAAATTAATTTTTATTTGTTTATTTTTTCTATTATTTTCTCCTGGCTTTTGCATACATACTGACATCATTAGACTAAAAAAATGGAAAATGTAACAAAAAATAAATGTTTAGGGGCTCATTACAAATGTTAAAAAACATAGATGCAAACATAAAAAAACAGAACCATCAATTTATGTCACATTTTATATAATAACAATTTACATACATTTTTTTGGTTTGTTTCTAAGACAAATAAAATGTTAATATTGTTAAAAATATATATTTTTTAAGTGAAGTGTTTTTTAAAAAAAAATAAGCAATACTGTTTCTGATCAAAGATCATATTCTGATTTTGACGTTCATTCACAGCGTTTTAATTCATTATTTAAATGTTGGGTTTTTTTGTATGTTTTTTAAACTGTTTCTATTATTAATCCATCTGCTTTGAATGCAAAGCACTTAAGGTCAACTCTATTGCTATTTCTAAATGTTCTCTATAAATACAAGTGACTAATAAAGACGCAGCATACCTGCAGCTCTGTAGGGTATAAGTGCAGCATATTTCTTTTTGGGTGTATTATTTGACAGGAACAAAAGCAGAAGAAAAATCTAACAGATGACTCATCTCATCATCTGTTTCATAAGGTCTCGCTGTGTTTCCACAGGGCTCACACTTGCTTTAATCGTCTGGACCTCCCGCCCTACCCGTCCTTCTCCATGCTCTACGAGAAGCTGGTAACCGCTGTCGAGGAAACGAGCACGTTCGGCTTGGAGTAACCTCAAATTGGCCGACACCCAGGAGAGAGAACCATCTGGAAATCTGTGTTCCTCACTTAGAGGCATTAAAAATAAAACTAATATCCTCAAAAGGCAACTAAACCCCCCTCCCTTCCCCTCCCTGGATGACGCTGCTGTTTTTTCCGACTGGCTTTACATCACTCGGCACGCCGGCTTTGCTCTGATTCTCCACCTCCGACAGCTTCAGGACAAAAGACGGAGAATCGGAGGACGGGTTGAAAAGCTGTACAGTACAATTTCTTGTTTTCATGGTAACCTTTGTTCACTGAGCCACATGTGTGCTTTATCTCTTTAGTTAATGGCCTTGGTTACTGGATTTCTAGCACCTCCTCCTCCTCCACCTCCTCAGAGACAGCTGCTCCAAAAACCCACTGAGTTCCTTTTCCCTTCTCTGGACCTCAAAACTGTGCCCGTCCCGCTCCGGGGCTGCAGTGATATGAACTATAAGACACACCAATCACCTTTGCACAAATACACACTTAAGCATTGTCTTTGTATTATGAGTGCAAACCAGTGTTTCCCCCGAGAGTCTTCATCGGCGCGGGAAGAAGTGACATTTTAGTCTTTAAACCGAACGCTGGCTGCTTGTGCGAAGAGAGGGGACACACTGGTGTGCACAAATACACACTGAAAACACACCTGTTCTCACAGTTTAGAACCCCGAATGAGCTGGACATGGAGTCGCAGGTCATCGGCGGTGCTTGTGCGCAGCGTCAGTGACACATTGTGGTAATGACGGCAGGTTTGAGGTCAGGACTGTTACCTTCAGTTACTGCGACACCACAGCCCAAAAACATAAAAAAAACCCATGTGACACATGAACGGTTTCAACAGAAGCGCAAGGTTCCTGTCTTACAACACATTTCTCATGAGCAATAGAGGCACTTTTTGACATAACACACAAAGTCCTCCCCAGCCAGTGAAAGTGATGAATGTACCAAACCAGTGACTGAATGTATGAACCTCGAGCAGGAAACAGAAGTTGAAAGGTTTCAACATAAGCGTGACTCGGTTTGTTTAAGCACTGATGATTTATAAATGCAATGATGGCTCATGAGATGCATCTATGGTGCTGCCAGCTTGCTCGGGGGATCAGGGCTCAAATGAAAGAAATGCCAAACTAGGTCACAGGTCGTAACATTTCCTGGGAGAAAAACATTTTACTGATAACAACCCTCAAAAATAACCCAATTCCTTGATTAAACTGATCATTGGGCTCATTTTTATGGTTTTTAATGGCTTTATTTGTGTTTATCGCATCTATATTCTTTCATTTACCAAGGATGCATATTTTAAAGTGTTTTAACTTAAATATTTATCTTTTTAAATCATTTTTTATGCAGAAGGACATCTCAGTCTGTTAGCCATGCACTAACATTAGTCACTGCAAAACATCACAATGCAGTAATTAGGAGGAGAAAATTACAATCATATCAAATTTTATGCCGTTAAAAATATATATATATTTCACTCATGTAACACTTTTCATGGTTGGACCAAAAAGATCCCCAAAATGATAAAATAGAAGTCACTGATGGAGTGCAGTTGTGAGGAGAAGACAAAATGTTTTCTTTGCAGCTCTCAGTTCAACTCAGACTTTGACAGGACAGTGGAAGGTCAAAATAATGGCATATACCCATCACTTTTTACATTTTACACTTAACTAATCATCACAAAAAGAAGATCCACGATTTTAAACATCATGTATAGCAATTACTACTGTTACTGCTAAAGTAAAAGAAGGATTTAGGAATAAAAATCCACATTTTAAGTATCAAAAATAAATTTCTGGTATTTTTAGAAAACTAAACTGCTTGCAAATTGTTTAAATTAATTGCATTATGGTGCTTTTAAGTTGCATATAAACCTTTGCTTTCATAGATGTGCAGCATCTGAGGTCCAACTCCCCCTGAGCAACGCAGTGGCCGCTTTGATGCATCGCTCTAGTGAATGGCTATTAGATGTACCATGAGGCATTGGTGGGATTATTTTAGTGCCTCTTGGGAATGAAGTTTTATTTCTTTGCAAACATGTGACCAGATCCAAGCGTCTCACTGTAGGAGCTGCAGTTTTTAAAACAAAATATCAGATATCAACACCAGAGGGCAGCAAAGTCCCACTCAACTCAAACAACCAGTGGTCTGGTCCTCTCTGAGTGGCTTCCTGACCAGGGTAGATTATGATGATGATGATGGCCTTGTACTTTAGAACTTGTTGCATACAGTCCATGCAAGACAGTAGTTTTGTCTCTGAAGCATGTGATCGAACATTGAGTGCACTCACACACACAAACTCATTTTCTACAGGGTGCATGCAAGATTACACCTACTGTACAGAGTCCTGTTGGAGTTAGACCACAGGGGCTGGAATAGTGGTAGAGATCCCCACCTGCGATGCGACATGTGTGGGCAGACTTTTGTATCTCAGCCCCGCCTCCCTACCCACACCTCTCGCCCACCCCCGCCCTAATAATGCATGCAGGATCTTCCTGGTCAGCTCCGTGAGCTGGACCTGGTAGAAACTCCTAGGTGGCGTTGTGTTATAGCTCGATATTGCATGCTGAAATAGTGCAACACACTGTCCTTACTAGCTTTTTTTGCATGAGGATATTGCTATACATTCAGACAAAGGGGTGAGGGAGCTGGTTAAATTGTGCCACTCCAGTTGTGGCGCTCCACCTGAGGCGTGCGCCCTTGTGCTCACCTGGCACTGTCGTACCTTTAGCTCGTGGGAACAAGGCGGAGGATGATGGTGTTTGTTAGCTCTCTCCGTGACAGTGGAACGGCGAGTATTTCGGCAGCATGCTTCGAAAACTTCACACGTGCGTGTCTGCCTGTCTCAGTCACAGGCTGATGGTCATGGTTCATTGCTGAACAGGTAATGGATCAATAGGGCTGCTTTTGATTTTGTGAGAGCACATGTATGTGTACCATGTGTGCAGTCCTGTTTGTCTCTTTGTATATAAATGTATATGTATGTCTGTCCTGTTGTGTGTTTAAATATATATATTTTGCACCGGATGTACCAAAGGTTTGGGGCTTGCAAAGTCAACCATTAGGCCTGCTCTCTATTTCAGTCGAACAACCACACATTCCCCCCTCCTCCCCACCGCTGTTTCTGGCTCACAGAGCATCACCTCATGTTCTCTTGAGGAGCAGATTTGTGGCATGGGCAGCGACGCTTCACGTTAGGATATTCACCCGGTTGGGTCAGTTTCGGTTCACCATCACTTTGAGGCTTTTCAGGTGCAGATGAAGACTGCTGCACCACTCGTCTTTCTGTGTACATCTGACAGGACCCGGCTCCAGTTTTCAGAATTCCACTCTATGCAAAGCTCCTGTATGTGTGTGTGTGTGTCCATTTCACTCCAATGATTGTAATAAAAGAACAAATGGAAAAATTTTATGAATGATCTTTTACTAAAGTTATCTAATATACAGTGGCTTGCAAAAGTATTTGGCCCCCTTGAACTTTTCCACATTTTGTCACATTACAGCCCCAAAAATGAATCAATTTTATTGGAATTCTATGTGAAAGACCAACACAAAGTGGTGTACACGTGAGAAGTGGAACGAAAATCATACATTTTTTTTTTACAAATAAATAATTGAAAAGTGGGGTGTGCGTAATTATTCAGCCCCCTTTGGTCAATACTCTTAGAACCACCTTTTGCTGCAATTACAGCTGCCAGTCTTTTATGGTATGTCTCTACCAGCTTTGCACATCTAGACACTGAAATCCTTGCCTATTGTTCTTTGCAAAACAGCTCCAGCTCAGTCAAATTAGATGGACAGCGTTTGTGAACAGCAGTTTTCAGATCTTGCCACAGATTCTCAATTGGATTTAGACCTTGTCTATGTTTTGTGATAAACCATTCCATTGTTGCCCTGGCTTTATGTTCAGGGTCGTTGTCCTGCTGGAAGGTGAACCTCCACCCCAGTCTCAAGTCTTTTGCAGACTCCAAGAGGTTTAGTAGGCAGGGATAGCTCAGTAGGTAGAGTGGTGGCCCCATGATCGGAAGGTCAGGGGGGTTCAACTCCACTGAACGGCTACCCTGAGGTACCCCTGAGCAAGGTACCGTCCCTACACACTGCTCCCCAGGCGCTGCATTGGTGGCTGCCCACTGCTTCACTGGGTGAATGGGTTAAATGCAGAGGAACTATTTCCCTATGGGGACTAACACATACACATTATTACACATTTCTTCCAAGATTGCCCTGTATTTGGCTCCATCCATCTTCCCATCAACTCTGACCAGCTTCCCTGTCCCTGCTGAAGAGAAGCACCCCCAGAGCATGATGCTGCCACCACCATATTTGACAGTGGGGATGGTGTGTTCAAAGTGATGTGCAGTGTTAGTTTTCCGCCACACATAGCGTTTTGCATTTTGGCCAAAAAGTTCAATTTTGGTCTCATCTGACCAGAGCACCATCTTCCACATATTTGCTGTGTCCCCCACATGGCTTGTGGCAAACTGCAAACGGGACTTCTTATGGTTTTCTGTTAACAATGGCTTTCTTCTTGCCACTCTTCCATAAAGGCCAACTTTGTGCAGTGCACGACTAATAGTTGTCCTATGGACAGTTTCCCCCACCTGAGCTGTAGATCTCTGCAGCTCGTCCAGAGTCACCATGGGCCTCTTGGCTGCATTTCTGATCAGCGCTCTCCTTGTTCAGCCTGTGAGTTTAGGTGGACGGCCTTGTCTTGGTAGGTTTACAGTTGTGCCATACTCCTTCCATTTCTGAATGATCGCTTGAACAGTGCTCTATGGGATGTTCGAGGCTTGGGAAATCTATTTGTAGCCTAAGCCTGCTTTAAATTTCTCAATAACTTTATCCCTGACCTGTCTGGTGTGTTCTTTGGACTTCATGGTGTTGTTGCTCCAAATATTCTCATAGACAACCTCTGAGGCCATCACAGAGCAGCTGTATTTGTACTGACATTAGATTACACACAGCTGCACTCTATTTAGTCATTAGCACTCATCAGGCAATGTCTATGAGCAACTGACTGCACTCAGACCAAAGGGGGCTGAATAATTACGCACACCCCACTTTTCAGTTATTTATTTGTAAAAAATGTTTGGAATCATATATGATTTTCGTTCCACTTCTCACGTGTACACCACTTTGTATTGGTCTTTCACATGGAATTCCAATAAAATTGATCCATGTTTGTCGCTGTAATGTGATAAAGTGTGGGAAAGTTCAAGGGGGCCAAATACGTTTGCAAGCCACTGTATGTCAACAACAAACTGTGTTAATGGTACCAAAGTATATCATGAAGGAGGCCTCACCCTGATTAAACACTCCTCTACTAAACCTGAGGTTTCTGTCCAAGTAACAAAAGGAAAAAGGATAAGTGAAGCTACATTAATATAATAATGATGCAGATATTTAAAGATATCAGATTTGAATGCATGCAGTAATGAAAATTTGGTTTAGATGCTGAGGGCTGTGTTAAGCTTAGATCATTGTTAATAAAGGTACAAATTGTACATACACAGTGGATGGTTTTATGTGGAAGCAACCTTGTGCGAGAAAGAGAAACACTAGATGAAATGGCAAAAATAAATAAATTTTAAAAACTTACAAGTTCTGATAATTTTGCAGAATATTTTGTCAAATTT